TACATAATACTTTTAAAGCTCTTTTTTAAAATCTTGGCTTACATACATTTCTACATATGCCATGTCATGCCATAGCGTCATTAAACTAGCATCTAACAATGGACAAAAGTGAAATGTGAAAAAAAGTTTTTTTGTTTTTTTTTTTCTAACTTGGCTGGCAATGTGCTAGAAACATCATAAAACATGCTAGCAACACTTAGCTAAGTGCTAAAGCATGCTATTAATTCAGTGAAACAGGAAGTTGCTGTATCAGGTATGCAATGTCAAATCTGCCCCTAAATTAACAAGTTTGCTGTAGTCCAAACGAGCCGTTCGTTGTAGTTCTTGAAAAGGGATTAAAAAAACCGAAATATCTCCCTTTGGAGTGGACTTTGAGATTTGTAACTTTCTAGATCTTTTTTATGCCCAAACATACACACTACACACTGACTAAAATTAAAAAAGTGAAAAAGCATAATACGACCCCTTTAACATGTTTGATTAGAGTCCTGGCCTGAAGACATCTACATGCTCATATATGGTTATAGTTATAGCGCCACCTACTGGCAACAGGAAGTGACATGCTTAACACTGTGATGCACTATTAGCAACACAGTAAAATATACAATTTTGTGCATATTACATATTCTCTTGTGCTTCAAACTTGAACCAGCACCGTGTATGCGCACATATCATGTCATATTCAAATGAAAGATGCACAAATTAGGGCAAATAAGGTACGTCTGATCATGGACGTGATGACAAAATGGATTATTGTGATACACATCAAACAATGATATAGACCGAAAATTCAAAGAAGAGTGCACAATGAGTAACAATGCCTTTATTCTTTCTATTTTGAATATATTTTAATATTTATTTGTCTGTATAATGAGTGTGTTGTAGGTTTGTGTTTTATTGGTTGTTTTCTCCCCTCTTCCCACCCTCTACACTCCCACTTTTCCACAGTTTTACACGCCCATTTCTGGAGACTTTTTCAGATCAAAGGTGTGAAAGACCAGTGCTGAAACAGGGGGGTTTCATGACACTTTAATTGTGGAGAAAAAAAAAAATCTTTACATTCATTCTGAACATCTAAAAAACATGCAGAAAGCAATTCCTTCCCCATTAATTGTAATTTGTAATTTAGTAATTGTAATTTATGCATTTAGCAGACGCTTTTATCCAAAGCGACTTACAGTGCATTCAGGCTATACATAAATTTTTTTTACCAGTACGTAATTGTAAATGAATTTGTGATAAGTATCAATATTTTATGATATGGAAAAACTGTTGTGAAAATATTTTTGGCCACATTGTCAAGCCATTGACCAGAGTTACCTGTTACGGGCCCAGCACACTTCCGCTGCGACACCCTGTTTACCTGATAAGTCTCCAATACATTGGAGCTTTCAAAGCGACTTACGTTTACCACACATTAATAGCTTGTCTGTTATAGATGAGATTTGTTAAAAAGAACAGGCAAGAAGTTCGTGCAGCTTTACTTTGAAGAAGAGGCAGCTTTACTTTGATCAGGACCTGGGCACTTAAAAAGATGTGCCCTATTCTATTCCTTCAACCGCCGGGATGCTACTCTGCTAGAAGCCACGCCAGATCGGACTTGAATCCACAACCGCTAGCTGAGGAGACCAGTGCCTTACCCATTAGACCACTGGAACTGTATTGGACTGCCTCACTTGCCCTATTAATTCTTCATGTCTTTCAGGTGGCCTTTAAAAAAAATACACAGTCTTCTTGGTGAATGACATCAAAGGGCCAGGTGGCTTTACGTTTTCATGACCGGGCTGTGAACATTACCCCTTTTTTGAGGGGCTCAGGCATGTATAGAAGTTAAAATGCCTTAGCAGAGAATGGTTTTGATCCCTCGATCTCTGGGTTATGGGCTTAGCACACTTCCTCTGCGCTACTCTGCCAATCATTACGAGCTGCTCGGTCATAGATTAGATATGTTGAAAACTATGACAGTTTTAGCCTAGAAATATGGCAGCTTTTCGTTGAGCAGGACCTGGGCATGCATATAAGTTAAACAGTGTTCGCAGAGGATGGTTATAACAAAATGCACACTTTATCATAACTAACAAAATGCAATCAACTGTCTAAAGCAAAATACTAGAAACTCCTCAAATAAATAAACACCCCCCTCTGATTTTCAACATCATGGTACAGTCCAATTTCCTCTGGCACAGCACAAGATTGGAAACTGAAGCGCCACCTCTCTCTTTGTTCACTGACACATGGAATGTGGCCTTTCACTGCATTGACCAGTGTGATCAGGGAGTCGGGTAAAGTATTCAAACAGCAAAAAGAATTATAAGAAGAGTGAACCTTTCTGTACGTTCAAGATATTAATAAACTGTTAACTACCTGTTCTGTGTTTACATTTAGGCAGACATTACTAGCTAGTCCAGGGGTGCCCAAACTCGGTCCTGGAGGGCCAATGTCCTGTAGAGTTTAGCGCCAACCTGCCTCAACACACCTGCCTGGAGGTTTCTAGTATGAGCTTGATTAGCTGGTTAAGGTGTGTCTAATTGGGGATGGATCTAAACTCTGCAGTACATCGGCCCTCCAGGACCGAGTTTGGGCACCCCTGAGCTAGTCTGTCTCAGCGGAATTTTTTCGAACTCTGCAACAGTTTTAGCAGCTTATCCTCAAGAAGGACCTGGGCATGCGTGGAAGTTCCACAGGCTTAGCAGAGGATGGTTTCGATTCGGTTCCCTAACCCTAAGCCCAGATGAGACTCAAACCCACAATCCCTGCCTTAGGAGGCCAGTGCCTTATCCATTAGGACACTGGGGCTTTTTGTGAGATGCTTCACTTAACCCACTAATTCTCCATCTCATATAGGAGGCCTTAAAAACACACACTCCTAGAGTCTTCTGGATGAACGACTACTATGAGAGGAGCAAGTCGCTTAAGTTTTTCATGACTGGGCTGCAGGAGCTCAGGCATGTATTAGAAGTTAAAAACTCTTAGCAGAGGATGGTTTCACTCCATCAACCTCTGGGTTATGGGCCCAGCACACTTCCGCTGCACCACTCTGCTGTAAGCCACCCCAGATGGGAATCGAACCCACAATGCCTGGCTCAGGAGGCCAGTGCCTTATCCATTAGGCCATTGGGGCTGCCATGGGGTAGTTCACTTGCCTTATTAATTATTCCTCTCATTCAGGTGGTCTTTAAAACAAATCAGATGGAGTCTTCTCGATGAACGCCTGCTATGAGAGCAACGAGTGGCCTTAGGTGGTCTGATGGAGTCTTCTCGATGAATGCCTGCTATGAGAATTATGTTTTCACTCCCACACTGTGGATATTGCCCCTTTTTGCTCACTTGCCTTGTTAATTCGCCCTCTCATTCAGGTGGAATTAAAAAAAATATTTGGATAGAGACTTCTGGATGAACGCCTGCTATGAGAGCAACACGTGGCCTTAGGTTTTCACTCCCATGCGGTGGATATTGCCCCTTTTTGGGGGGCCCAGGCATGTATAGAAGTTCAAATGTCTTAGCAGAGGATGGTTTCGATCCATCGACCTCTGGGTTATGGGCCCAGCAAACAAATGAGATTTAGTCTTCTCGATGAACGCCTGCTATGAGAGCAACAAGTGGACTTACGTTTTCATTCCCACACTGTGGATATTTCCCCTTTTTGGGGGACTCACGCAAGTATAGAATTAAAATTCCTTAGCAGAGGATGGTTTCAATCCAATTATCCCTCTCATTCAGGTGGAGACTTCTGGATGAACGCCTGCTATGAGAGCAACAAGTGGCCTTAGGTTTTCTCTCCCATGCGGTGGATATTGCCCCTTTTTGGGGGTCTAGGCATGTATGGAAGTTAAAATGTCTTAGCAGAGGATGGTTTCGATCGATTGACCTCTGGGTCATGGTCCCAGCACGCTTCCGCTGCGCCACTCTGCTATAAACCACCCTAGATGGAACTCGAACCCACAATCCCTGGCTTAGGAAGCCAGTGCCTTATCCATTAGGCCACTGGGGCTGCCACAGGGTAGATCACTCACATTCAGGTGGTCTTTAAAACGAATCAGATGAAGTCTTCTCGATGAAGGCCTGCTAAGAGAGTTATGTTTTCACTCCCACACTATGGATATTGCCCCTTTTTGCTCACTTGCCTTATGAATTCTCCCTCTCATTCAGCTGGAATTAAAAAGAATATTCAGATAGAGACTTCTGGATGAACGCCTGCTATGAGAGCAACAAGTGGCCTTAGGTTTTCACTCCCATGCGATGGATATTACCCCTTTTTGGGGGGCTCAGGCATGTATAGAAGTTAAAATGTCTTAGCAGAGGATGGTTTTGATCCATCGACCTCCGGGTTATGGGCCCAGCACTCTTCCGCTGCACCACTCTGCTGTAATTCACCCCAGACGGGACTAGAACCCACAATCCATGAATTAAACAAAAATTCAGATAGAGACTTCTGGATGAACACCTGCTATGAGAGCAACAAGTGGCCTTAGGTTTTCACTCCCATGCAGTGGATATTGCCCCTTTTTGGGGGGCTCAGGCATGTATAGAAGTTATAATGTCTTAACAGAGGATGGTTCCGACCCATCGACCTCTGGGTTATGGGCCCAGCACACTTCCCCTGCACCACTCAGCTACCGCTCCGGAGCGCTATTCGAGGCTTAGTGTATCCCATCATGCATCATGTTCTGGAAATAAAGCGTGAGACTTTTTGCCGAGATCTCGCTAGAGGTCACGGAAACCTTTCCAATGCAAGTTAAATATTAATATAATAATTAGATATTACATATAATTTGGTAGAAAAACATGTTTTTACGTTTTATTGGTGCAAAGATGAGTAGTCGTGATATTTATTATGTACAATATTTGCAACTGCTTTTTATCACTTAATTAGAAGCACCACAAATTAAAATTGTCACGTTATAGGGACAACTGAACAGACATTTAGAAGTTGATTTTAAAATGCAAAGTATTTAAAATTAAAATTAAAATAAAGCTATGTAAACACTTGCATTTTTACAACACTACAAGTGTGTCCCATCAGGTAATGAAAAGTTCGACACACACTTGTGGTCTTCATGCTCACTTGAACACTTGGGCCAAATACAGGAAATACGTCATATAAGTAGTCAAGTGGTCAAGTGCAAAGACCATAAGTGTGGGTATTTGGACAAGGCTACTGTGGATATGGCCCCTTTTTGGGGGACTCACGCAAGTATAGAACTAAAATTCCTTAGTAAAGGATGGTTTCGATCCATTGACCTCTGGGTTATGGGCCAAGCACACTTCCGCTGCGCCACTCTTCTGTAACTCACCCCAGATGGGACTAGAACCCACAATCCATGAATTAAACAAAAATTCAGATAGAGACTTCTGGATGAACGCCTGCTATGAGAGCAACAAGTGGCCTTAGGTTTTAACACCCATGCGGTGGATATTGCCCCTTTTTGGGGGTCTAGGCCGCCCACTGTGGATGTTGCCCCTTTTTGCTCACTTGCCTTATTAATTCTCCCTCTCATTCAGCTGGAATTAAAAAGAATATTCAGATAGATACTTCTGGATGAACGCCTGCTATGAGAGCAACAAGTGGCCTTAGGTTTTCCCTCCCATGCGATGGATATTACCCCTTTTTGGGGAGCTCAGGCATGTATAGAAGTTAAAATGTCTTAGCAGAGGATGGTTTCGATTCATCGACCCTCCGGGTTATGGGCCCAGCACTCTTCCGCTGCGCCACTCTGCTGCAAGCCAATCCAGATGGGACTCGAACCCACAATCCCTGAGTTAGGAGGATAGTGCCTTATTCAGCAGGCCACTGTGGCTGCCACGGTGTAGCTCACTGACATTCAGGTGGTCTTTAAAACAAATCAGATGGAGTCTTCTCGATGAGCGCCTACTATGAGAGCAACAAGTGGCCTTAGGTTTTCACTCCCATGCGATGGATATTGGCCCTTTTTGGGGGGCTCAGGCATGTATAGACGTTAAAATGTCTTTGCAGAGGATGGTTTCGATCCATCGACCTCTGGGTTATGGGCCCAGCACACTTCCGCTGCGCCACTCTGATGTAAGCCACCCGAGATGGGACTCGAACCCACAATCACTGGCTTAGGAGGCCAGGCCACTGGGGCTGCCACGGGGCAGCTCACTCACATTCAGGTGGTCTTTAAAACAAATCAGATGGAGTCTTCTCGATGAGCCCCTACTATGAGAGCAACAAGTGGCCTTAGGTTTTCACTCCCATGCGATGGATATTACCCCTTTTGGGGGGGCTCAGGCATGTATAGAAGTTAAAAAGTCTTAGCAGAGGATGGTTTTGAGCCATCAACCTCTGGGTTATGGGCCCAGCACTCTTCCGCTGCTCCACTCTGCTGTTAGCCAGCCCAGATGGGACTCAAACCCACAATCCCTGGCTTAGGAGGCCAGTGCCTTATCCAGTAGGCCACTGTGGCTGCCACGGGGGAGCTCACTCACATTCAGGTGGTCTTTAAAACAAATCAGATGGAGTCTTTTCGATGAGCGCCTACTATGAGAGCAACAAGTGGGCTTCGGTTTTCACTCCCATGCGATGGATATTACCCCTTTTTGGGGTGCTCAGGCATGTATAGAAGTTAAAATGTCTTAGCAGAGGATGGTTTTCATCTATCGACCTCTGGGTTATGGGCCCAGCACGATTCCGCTGCGCCACTTCGATGTAAGCCACCCCAGATGGAACTCGAACCCACAATCCCTGGCTTAGGAGGCCAGTGCCTTATCCATTAGGCCAATGCGGCTGCCACGGGGTAGCTCACTTGCCTTATTAATTATCCCTCTCATTCAGGTGGTCTTTAAAACAAATCAGATGGAGTCTTCTCGATGAACGCCTACTATGAGAGCAACAAGTGGCCTTAGGTTTTCACTCCCATGCGCTGCATATTGCCCCTTTCTGGGGGTCTAGGCATGTATGGAAATTAAAATGTATTAGCAGAGGACGGTTTCGATCCATCGAGCTCTGGGTTATGGGCCCAGCAAACAAATCTGAAGGAATCTTCTAGATGAACGCCTGCTATGAGAGCAGCAAGTGGACTTATGTTTTCATTCCCACACTGTGGATATTGCCCCTTTTTGGGGGACTCACGCAAGTACAGAATTAAAATTCCTTAGCAGAGGATGGTTTCTATCTATCGATCTCTGGGTTATGGGCCCAGCACGCTTCCGCTGCGCCACTCTGCTGTAAACCACCCCAAATAGGCAGTGCCTTATCCATTAGGCCACTGGGGCTGTCGCGGGGTAGTTCATTGCTTATTAATTATCCCTCTCAATCAGGTGGTCTTTAAAACAAATCAGATGGAGTCTTCTCGATGAACGCCTGCTAAGTGAGTTATGTTTTCACTCCCACACAGTGGATGTTGCCCCTTTTTGCTCACTTGCCTTATTAATTCTCCCTCTCATTCAGCTGGAATTAAAAAGAATATTGAGATGGAGTCTTCTCGATGAACGCCTACTTTGAGAGCAACAAGTGGCCTTAGGTTTTCACTCCCATGCGGTGGATATTGCCCCTTTTTGGGGGTCTAGGCATGTATGGAATTTAAAATGTCTTAGCAGAGGATGGTTTCGATCCATCGACCTCTGGGTTATGGGCCCAGCATGCCTCCGCTGCGCCACTCTCCTGTAAGCCACCCTAGTTGGAACTCGAACCCACAATCCCTGGCTTAGGAGGCCAGTGCCTTATCCATTAGGCCACTGGGACTGCCACGGGGTAGCTCACTCACATTCAGGTGGTCTTTAAAACAAATCAGATGAAGTCTTCTCGATGAACGCCTGCTTTGAGAGCAACATGATAGCTCCCTCACAGTCAGGTGGTCTTTAAAACAAATCAGATGAAGTCTTCTCGATGAACGCCTGCTTTGAGAGCAACAAGTGGCCTTAGGTTTTCACTCCCATGCGATGGATATTATCCCTTTTTGGGGGGCTCAGGCATGTATAGAAGTTAAAATGGCTTAGCAGAGGATGGTTTCGATCCATCGACCTCTGGATTATGGGCCCAGCACGCTTCCACTGCGCCACTCTGCTGTAAGCTGCCCTAAATGGAACTCGAACCCACAATCCCTGGCTTAGGAAGCCAGTGCCATATCCATTAGGCCAATGCGGCAGCCACGGGGTAGCTCATTTGCCTTATTAATTATCCCTCTCATTCAGGTGGTCTTTAAAACAAATCAGATGGAGTCTTCTCGATGAACG